TTTTCTCCTCTGATGACAGACAGCCTTTCTGATTCTCGTTGCTGTTCATTTGTGTGTCCCCGGTGACGGATGTCATCTGATACCTTTTTATACACACGCTGAGTGACACTCACATTGGGCAACTGCCATCAGCACCCATCCTCACACCACTCTGCGTCCTGTAAGCTGAGGTGACTTGGGTGCCTTCTCATGCCCTATCCGCAGAAAACATGTTCCACTTTCCACCCGTAAGAATCTGACTGTTCTGGGCACCTCACGTGTGGAATTATTGCATATTCATCTTGCTGGGACCGGCTTATTTCCCCTGGCACAGGGTCCCATGTTGGTGTGGCATGCTGAATGCTCCATTACACGTGGACATTTCTGCTTCTGAGCACTGTCTGTTGGTGAACACTTCTCTGGGCTGTTGTATATAGCCCGAATAACACTGAGGTGTGTGGATCCTGCTCCCTGAGTCGCTGCCTCTAGTACTTTGTGTGTGTGTCCCGAGGGGAAATTTCTCGATGTTCAACCCTCCTTCTCTCCAAGTCAGAACTTTGCTATGAGCGATCTCATTTTTTTATGTATTTATTGTGGTGCTGGAGATGGAGACCGGGGCACCACTGTGCTGTGCCTCCCATACTCCCACTGTAAAGAAATGGAACAATGCAGCGTCCCGTGATAATGTGTCTTAGAGCTGCAGCCTCTTTAACCATCCTTTGTCTCTGCCATCTGTGTCCCCAGATCACAGGCTTTGCCTAGTTCCGAGTGAGGCAGGGCTGTGAAATGAAGCACGGTGCGCCTCCCAGCTGGTCTCTCTTCCTCTACTGCACAGTTAGGTCAGTTCAGACTGCCAGAGCGCCTGAGTTAGACTCTCCAGGCCCATGAGAGAAAGCTGGGCATGGCTGGATGTGCCTGCCATCCCAGCACTGGGGGATGGGGGTGAGGACAGACAGACTCTGGGGGGTGGGGGAGTGAGGACAGGCAGACCCTGGGGGTGGGGAGTGAGGACAGACAGACTCTGGAAGCTTATTTGCCAGCCAGCTAGCCTAACTGAAACACTGAGCTGCCGCTTCAGAGAGAGACCCTGTCTCAAAGCAATATGACAGAGCGATAGAGCAGTAAATCCTATGGAGTGTGTGTGTGTGTGCGTGTGTGTGTGTGTGTGTTTGTCTTTCCAGGGACAGTTGAAAGCACTCAACAGACCACTCTGCCTTTGCATGCATATACCTGCCCATTCATGTGCATGTACTCCCCTCCACACACACCACACCACACACACACCACACATACCAACACACACACCACACACACACACACACCACACATACACAACATTCTACAAACAGATAACACACATCATATATCACACACATATCATACACATATATCACACACATCACACACTACACACAGATGACACACAGATAACACATACACATCACATGCCATACACACATATCACACAAACATTCCCACACACATCACACACCACATACACATACCACACAAATACCCCCCCAACATCACATACCACACACATACCACCCCCTCCCCCCAAACACACACTTGCTGTAAACTGATGGCAATAGCATCTACCTCTTCAGCCTGGCTGGGAAGTCTACTGAAGGTTTAATAGATGCAGTGTCTGTTGGGGACGCTCATCCTGGCCACAGAAACTGAAGAGAGAACAGGCTCTGGGCTCATCCTCATCTTTAAGGACATGAAGCCCACTGGGGGTTCCACTCTTACCGTCTCACGTAGATCTATCAATTTCTCATAAAGATCACGTTGGTAATCTGAACTTTAATACATGAATGCCCAGCATTCATACCGAGTGCCATACTTCAAGAAGGGAAAGCAGAACTGTGGAGAAGAGGGGCCCAGAGGAAGAAAGGTAGAACAACCAAGAGGAGAGAAACCAAAAAATAATGGAGATCACCAAGGAGGGAAAGGGGACCGAGTGGGACAAAGGGGCAATGCGACGTGGGAAGGGAAATCAAAGTCCTGAAGCTTGGCATCACCCCTTCCTTCATTGTTGAATTAAACAGCTGTTCTCTCCGGTGCAAGGATGATTCTGGAAGATAGGAATCAGCTGCCAGGGTCTTCCTGTGTCAGGTGGTAACCAAGCCAGGGTCCTTGGGGTGGATGGACTCAACCAGCACCCTGCAAGCTCCATAGCCTGGGCAGAAAGAGAGACTGGACCGCCATTCCCCCATTTCCTTCCCTCTGGACAGGAGACCATCCTGGTCCCAGACATCTCTCCTCAAATCCCAAGGCTGGAGACCTTCAAGGAAGAAGCTTCAACTCCAGCTTCCTCTATATCCCTGTTTCCTCTATATCCCCAATACTTGGAGGCTAGGGTCCGCTAGGGTCCTGCTAGGCCAGTTCGTAGGTCTGACCTGCTCTGCATTCTCTTTTGTATGATTTCTCTCTCTCTCTCTCTCTCTCTCTCTCTCTCTCTCTCTCTCTCTCTCTCTCTGTCTCTATCTTTCTTGAGACATGGTCTTAACTTGTAGCTTTGGTGACTTGGAATTCACCCAGCTAACTTCACACTCACAGAGATATCCCTGCTCCTGCCTTCCCAAGTGCTGGGATTAAAGGTGTGGACCGCCATGCCCAGCTCTTGCTTAGCATCATTTGCAGATGACAGAGAAGGTGCAGGTACCTGGTCTGTTTTAGATTTTCTCAGGCAGGTTCTTTTTTCCCTGTCAAACTAGTTGAATTTTCATCCGCCTGTAGGGTCCACGTGATTTGTATTTGTGCAGACTGTCTGGACATGCTTTTTCTACATGGTACTCCAGGGTGAAGCTGAAGATACCGAGTGCCACTTTAACCGCAAGCTGGCCTGGTGCTGATGGCTGGCCAGCGGTGTGGTCCGTGGCACAGCACACGGTCCTGCACATAGTGTTCTTCCACGTCTCCACACTGTGAAACCTAAGATAGTCTTCCTTGTGGAGAGAATTCCATTTGAGGATTTCCAGTCTGACCAAGACATAAAACATGAATGATTTCCCTGCGCCACGATGCTTATGAGAGAGATAGCATATGTCCTTGATCCTCTCAGGAGAGCTGCCCCTTGGGATACTGGACACTATCTGGATTGTTTTTATTAACTAGGAGCTGCTCTGACATTGAATAAATGAATGGTAGAGGTCAGGCTAGCTCTCCTGTGGTACCCAGGACAGCTCCAGAAAAGGATGATCTGGTCCAAAATCCCGGTGGCACTAAGGCTTAAAAGCTGCCATAACGTGTGCAAAGGATGCAACCCAGCTTGACTAAATCCACTCATCTAAATAGGAAGAACACAGGGATGGGCAGAGCAGGGCTTCTGACTCTAGAGTTTTCAGGGCTTCCCCCTTTTAGCGTTTAAAATAGATATGATAGATAGACAGATGATAGGTAGATGATAGATAGATATAGATAGATGATAGAGATAGATAGATGATAGATAGATAGATAGATAGAGATAGATGATAGATAGATAGATAGATAGATAGATAGATAGATAGATAGATAGATAGATGATAGATAGACAGAGTGTATTGTTATGTGTGTGTGTGTGTGTGTACCAATACCCACTCACATGTGGAGGTCAGAGGACAACCTCGGGTGTCCATCATCCGCTGTATGAGAGAGGGTCTTCCTTGTTTGATGTTTTTCTGCGTACTCCAGGCTAGCTGGCCTTCAGCTCCTAGGATGTCTCTTCTCTCTGCGTCCCTTCTCACTGTCGGGGCCACACATGGCGTGCACCTGGCTTTTCCATGGGTTCTAGGAATCCAGACTCAGGCCATCAGGGTTGCATTACTATTGCTTTTATCATGAGACATCTTCCTGGACCCCTTTTGTTTTTATATTTTGAAATAATTTTAGATCTACAAGCTGGATATGGTGCGATTGCCTTTAATCCCAGCACTTAGGAGGTAGAGGTGGGTGACTCTCTGTGAGTCTGAAGAGTGGTCTGCACTCTGGTCTGCAGAGTGAGTGAGTTCTAGGCCAGTCAGGCCTACATAGTGAAACCTGTCTCTAATAATAATAGTATAATCATTGTAATTATTATGGACTTACAGACTGCCTAGTTTTAACCCATTTCCTCAGCATTTGGCTCTTGAAAGACTTCCTAAATACATGAAAGAAGAGGCTGTGGAAAGGACACGTTAAGCCTCCTTCTTACAAGGCTTCACTCTGAGCAGCCGCTGAGGGTGAGGGCATGGGGAATGAGTTAAAAGAGAGCCCGTGGGCTGCCTGCGGGCGCACCTGCCTGGTTTGGGTCATGAAGTGGCCGTGGCATTGGTGTCTGAGAGGCACCTCCCCCTTGTGCTGCTGTGGCTATCTTTAGACAAAGTCGCCCTTAGCCAGCTGTGCAGGGTGGCCAGCACAGCCCGGTAAGCTACTTCCTGCCCAAGAAATGTGTGCGTACCAACTAAAACACATCACCTGGGCCTCGGGTTAGCGCAGTGGCAGCGTACGAGCTCGCCTCCATCCCTGGTAGCAAAGTCAAAACAGACACCTAGGAAGGGAAGGCCCCTCGTAGTTTTGGTGGTACACTGAAGTACTTCTAGTTTTTTAAAACATATAAACATGTATTAACCTATTGTTAGGGATAAAAATGAAGTTATGGTTCTGTAGCCTATGTTTCTTTTCAGCTTGTGTTTACCATGCTGTCTCTGGGCACTGTGTCCAGTGTTGATGGGCGAATCTGAGGGCTTCAGGATTGTCTGCCTACTCAAGACCCATGGAGTGGCTCAGGTTTTTTTTTTTTTTTGGTAGCATTAGTGGTTGAACCCAAGGCCATGTGTAATGCTGGGTAGGCATTCCATGAGTCTCTCCTATCTTAAATTTTAGGATGTAATTCAGGTTTCTTGGACAGGGATTACTCTGACACACTGGATCTGAAGTGGATTTGACAGCGCCAGGTGATGGTGTTGCTAACTGTTTCAGTCTAGATGCTGCAGCAATGCTAGGACAGTCTGTGCAGTGGTGTGGTCTTAGACTTCAGCTGTGTCTTGTGTGTCCCACAGGCAAATACGTTTATCAGCCCATGACCCCCGTGGAGCAGCTCCCAAGCACAGAGATCCCCGCGAGGCCACGAGAACCCACCAACACCATTCAGATCTCCGTCTCGCTCACTGAACACTTTTTGAAGTTTGCCTCTGTCTTCCAGCCTCCGCTTCCCCCCGAGTCGCCAAGGTACTGTATGATTTCCGATCTCTTCATCGACAACTATCAGGTTAAATGTATCAACGGGAAGATGTGCTATGTGCAGAAGCAGCAGGCACCCCATTCCCAGAAGATGAGCCCCGAGGAGGTCTCTGCACACGATGCCTTAATTTCTAAAGAGAGCGACACTCCGAAACTGGGCCACTGCTCCTCCCCTTCCAGTTCCGAGGACTCGGGGATCAATGCCATTGGGGCGCACTATGTGGAATCCTGTGACGAGGACACAGAAGAGGGGGCGGAACTGAGTTCCGAGGAAGATTACAGCCCCGAGAGCAGCTGGGAACCCGACGAGTGCACTCTTCTATCCCCGTCGCAGTCTGATCTGGAAGTGATTGAAACCATGGAAACCACTGTGTAGTCAGCTGGGACCTGCCGCCAGGATCCACCCTGAGCTTCTGTACTTTGATTTGATGTGTCCATTTCCAATACTCTTGGCATTTTCCCAGCCCCGTTACCACCCATAGCAGCCCAGGGGTCTGCTAACTAGTGTTACCCTTAAAGTTATCTTGTAACTATGACATTGTTTTCTTTTGTATCTTGCTTTCTATGTAGCCTCTGGTGTCATGAGTTGTGACCCAGCCTTAATTTCACTTAGAACTTTGAGAGCGGTGGTGACCACCGAGTGTCACGGGTCGACTGGTCACATGGAGGAGCTTCCCAGAGTGGAGGTGACCGTATTTTACCAGTAGCCCATCCTTTGTGGTGAGGGCTCTTGTTCAGCTTCCCTTTGGCATGTCATGTGACATCTCTGTTCTCCTGGTTTCGGTATTGGGAGCAGCCCGCTTCAGGACACAGTGTTGCTGGCAATAATCTTTCCCTTCCTCCTTCCTGCTAGCTGTGTGGGCTCAGGACAAGAGTAGCCTCAGGAGTTACTTCCAGGAGGTCCTTGGAGGTCCCCTCATGTCACAGCTTCTGTGACTGTGAGGAGAGACGGGCCTCTCCAGTTTGTCCAGCTAGTGTGATGTGTGTGTATATACATACATGCAGTAGGGTAGTGGGGATTCAGAAGAGCTCAGACCTGGTTCTCTCCATGAAGGGGACACACTGAGTTACAGGACACAAATCATGCAGCTCACGGCACCCAGGAGGCTCTTGGAACCGGGGAAGGAGAGGTGGACGTGGCCTAGGCTAGCTGAGGAAGTTGCTACAGTGACTGAGCTGGCCCCGGGTTCCACAGCATCCACTGCCCTTCGTGATTGTTTTTCAGATCAGGGAGAAGCATTTAAGTTTTATAGGTATTATATTTAGGAGGCAGCGCATCTGACATCTTAAGGAAATAAAACCACACTAGTTTTAGTTAGCATGGAAATGCTAAAAGACAAGTCCTTTAGGGATTAGGAATGAATCTAATAGGTTTGATTAATTCTGCTTCGTTTGGTTGTATGAAGCATTAGAATGGCTTAGATGAGAAATGGACTAGAATTTTGTATGATGCATGGGTTTTATGCAAATGCAAAGACAGTTGAAATAGCTCACTGTGGAGTCAGGAAGATGTTTTATGTAACACTTCTTCACTTTACTACGCCGGAATGCACACACGTGTGTGCTCTTTCACACACACGAAATAGTGGGTAATTCTTTCTTACATAGCTTTCTTCGAAACTCTGCCCCGATTTGCTATATAGTGGACATTCTCGTGTGATTTTACTATCTGCCGTTCTCCTAAATCTATGTGTGAGGCATAGAACAAATCTGGGAGCTTTAACATCTGTGAGGAGACCCACACAGCTGCAGGGGGGCGGGTGTCTCAGATCCTGTTGGTCTGAGCAGGCACCATGGCCTCTGCTGTCAGCATCTCACACATCCCTCTCCGTTAGTGTGTCCTTGAGGGAAGGAGAGGCTCGCTGTGTTCTCAGGGCCTCCCTCCTGCATTTGGGGTTCTTCACTGTGTACTCAGGAAGAATCTGCTTTCCCAACTGGATATGGAGTCGCAGTGATTCACCACTAGCCCCTTCTTTAGGCTGACAAGCCCAGAACATTCAGTGTTCAGAAGGCAGAATATGTGGCTTCCTTTGAAGGCAGTCATTACAACCTTCTGTGCTGGAGGAGAATGTAGCAAAAAATCCCCACTTACTGAAATGCAAAGGCTCAAGCCAAGAAGGACCAGCAGGCACAGGGGAGGACAGGTGGGAGCACCCACAACTCAGCTGGAGGGTCATGCTGCTGGCCTGGGATGGCCTGGGAACATCTGGTGAGCCCTGCCTGAGGTTTGTGGTGCATCACTGAAGGCAGGTATCCGTCACCCGGCACTCAGGGCTGTGGAGACAGCACCGGGGCCATCTTCAAATGTGCGGTGAACCATCTTCTCAGATCCCCAGGTGGAGAGGCACGCAGCAGAGCTCCCCACACCTCTCTGCTGTGGGCCCACAGCCACGAGTACTAAGTTAGCTGGAGTCTACAACTCAGGCTCCATGAAAACACGGGGTCAGAGCCACGGTTCTGGAGCTTGGCTGAGTGTTGGGCTTATGCCCTTTATCCATAACATCTATGACTTCTGCCCAGGGTCCTATTTTCTAAACCCCGACTGCCATTCAGACTTGCCACAAATGTGATGTAATTTTTGCATTTAATAACAATTGACGATCCCATTAAATATTTGCACAATCTCTTTGTAATTAAATTCACTAAGCTTCACTTGCCAGTTTTATAAAATTGGACACGTCCCCTTGCATTCTGGGATCTCAAAACGGCCTTTTCTGAAGAAGCACACCGAGCGTTTTTTTTAGTCTCCTAACACTGTTCATACCAGGAACTGTCTAAAATACAATTAAGCCAGAATTACTTCTCTATGCTTGCGTTCTGAAATCAGCTGAAAAGAATATAAAAAAAATGTATAGCTTAACTTCAATTCTAGGCCTATTCTGTTCTATGTTCTATGAGAGAATTTCTCTGTAATCCTGATATTATAGTGCTGATTTGTATACCTGTATTCATAGGCACCTTAGAAACACTTAGATGCAACATGCACTATAGACGGTAAGCACAGTTGTGTTAAATAGGCTTTTGACTAGCCCTTGTACAGTGAGAGACAGAAGCTTGCAATCTGGACCTTACAGAGTGCTGGCCTGGAGCAAGGCTTGGACCACATGGATGGGCTTCTGTGAGAAACTGGCACTATTGCCATTTTTTTGAAAGCTTGTTAGGTACCAGCGTGACCCCACTAAATGCAGAATATAGTTTTCTTACCTAGCCAAGATTTTAACTTTTAAGTGTGTCCATAACTTTTCTGAGAAATGACAAAGCAATTAAAGTCCTTTTTGGGATAACTGTTTGATATCTTAAAAAAAAATAAGGCTTTACTTTAAAATCTGAGTTTTTTTCTTTTTGCCTTGTAACATTTAAGGTATAAAATGAGAATTTGAGTACAACCCTGAAGAGAAGCAGTTGCTTTTCTGGAAGACGTACACCTCAAGGTGACACAGTATAGGACAGAGTAAACCCAAGCTTGTGTCTCAGCAGAACACAATGAAATACAATACAGAATAGTCTAAAACCGGAGCTACAGCATCCCAACACAAGACAACACAGCACAACAACACACCACAACACAGCACAACACAGTGTAAAATACTGCAAAGCCAATGTCCCAACAGGCTGTAATACAATATAATGCAATGCACACAACACAATACAAGACAACGTAAAACCTGAGCCACGGATGTTTTCTCACAAGTCTTTGGGATCTGATCGTCTTGGGAATATTCTTTGACTTCCTAACCTTGCCTGCTTGTCTATTTGAGATACCACACTCCTCTGGGGTTGATCAGAACAAATTCTTCTTATGCAAATTTGATTGCAACCAGACACTTTAGACAGTCAGAATATCCGATGAGCATGGTAGTGTAGATACTGCCATGTAAGCAAAAAGACACTTTTAAGTAAAATACTATTTATGTCATTGCTCTTGATTGTCCCCGAACCCTATTTTCAAAATGTTATTGTCATATTTTGACTTTTTACTTGAGGGAAATATTGGAACAGTTCTCTTTCCTTCCCCTTTGTCCAGCGGTGCTGCGAACCCAAACAGAGGACTGTGGGGCTTGGTGGGGAGGGTGTGAGTGTGCTCCCCATGGAGGGGTGGGTGGGAGGTGAGGGGGGCACCACTCACCTCTTCAGTACCCCACCGCCCTGAACGACATATTAAACCTCAGTGTAAACACAAGGGCATTTCTCAAAATGAGTTCATTTCCAAACCTCACCTTGTCGTGACTATGGTGCCTGAGCACAGTGTGCCCGAAGGGCTGGTGCAGCCCATGGAGGAGCTGTTTGTGAGGAGGGTGAAGCAGCCGGAAGCCGGTCCGGAGTCTGCAATGGCGCTCCCAGGTCCCTGTGTGTGCACGCGCATCGAGGCTATCCATGCCTTGCAGTAGTCACGTGCTGTGCTGGGTTCTTTGGAACCTATTTTAAAGTTTAAGCACAATGTTGACCCTTCTGTAATTTCCTAAAATTAGATTCTGTTTTCCTAAGACAGTTCAACTTTAGAGAAACACTGCTGTACAATAAATGTGGTTTTCTTTTGTACTAGAACAAACTGCTGTTGAGTTTTTGTATCGAGTGTTTACTGTGTGCTAGGAGAGAAGCAGTCTGTGCCCTTTGCCCATTTACACTCTACAAAACCTGATGAGACGCAGCTAAATATTCACATGTCCCTGCTTGCCACGTGTGTTCGTTGCCAGAACTCTTTGGGAAAACTCTTGTGTTGACTCCATCAGGTTTATATGAAATAAAAATTGTATCACCCCAGAAATAACCTTTATTTCACACCAAGTTAGGCCCTTTCTCCCGTTCATGAGTGCTGTATAAGACAGCTATATAAGACAGGGGAGGACGAGGGAGGCTGCTACCCCGTGAGACCTAAGGCTGACTCCAGCACTAAGGCCCAGGTCAAGGTTCAGTGTGGCTAGCCCACAAACTCCATTTGATTTTGCCTGCCAGCTTCTGGGTTTACTCCGTGGGACAGCCTCCTCAGGGACAGCGTTAAACACACCATCAGTAAGTAGTGCGTTCATCGAGTTCCTGGTGCCGCCTCACTTCCTCTGTGGTCTTCATGGCATCCCGTGTCACAAATGAGGGCGCTCAGAAAGTGTTACAGTGGCACCATTCATTAATCAGGCTGGGACCCGAACCCAGAACCCTGGCCCAGGAGTCCACTCTCAAGGCCTTTTGTCTGCGTTATTCCATTGCTGTCTGTAACGCAGTGAACGCTGCCTGAGTGGCTCACCACCCAGTGACCCAGACAGCGCTGGAGCAAGGCTGTGGTCCAGCCTCCCCTTTCTGCGTACTGATTGCCAGCTAGTGCACGTGTGTACGCGTGCCATGTCACCTACAAACTCAGCATTCAGACTGGTCCATCACGTCTGCCATTTCAGTCACGTCCTGGCCTGCATGCCAGGCTGGCTCTGCTTCCAAAAGCGCCAGCTTGTCTTCATAGGGGATTCCTGTTGACCATGAGTCTCATCTGCATGTGTGGTTCGCTGATTTAACTTTGCATAATTGTGCTGTAACATTCTGGAAGGCATCTTCTTGTTTGTAGTCTTACAAGTGCTGACTGCCCACACTTCTGCAGTACACCAGGCTAGCCTCTTGTCCTCAGTACAACCTGGGAACTGTTCATGCTTTTAGCTCTCGGTGTCCAGCTCAGGGCCTGTCTCTTGGCACTTGGGTTTGAGGAGAGAGGGTCAGGTGAAGATTCTTTGAGCCAGGGAGACGTGATGGAGGTGAATGAACAGGTGGGCGGGTGAGATGGCTCAGCGGTCAAAAGCACTGGCTGCTCTTCCGAGGACCCAGGTTCAATTCCCAGTGCCCATATGGCAGCTTCTAACTGCCTGTAACTCCAGTCTCAGGAGATTCAACACCTTCACACAGACATACGTGCACACAAAACATGAATGCACATGAAATAAATATATAGATATATAAAGGAACAAGTAAAGATGCTAAGATACTCAGGCAGTTTTTGTTACTTTTTGAAGTTTTCTAAAATGAACCTGTATTTCCATGGCTGAAAATGGAAGTCCTATTGAGCAAAGGGTCCTCATTTCCTCGGATCAGTGGTGGAAGTGGGGTGTCCAGGCAGTGGCCACATTACTGTGTGTCTGTTGAGACCAGGGCATTTGCTGGGAGCCTGGAGCTAGCTGGAGTCCGCTGAAGAATAAGCCCATTACAGGAGCTCCAAACATGGCTGGTGCTTGTGGGCACAGGGGTGTTTTCCTGTGTTCCCGGTTGGAGACTGCCTGTGAAATCTGGAGATGACAGATTAGAAAGCTTGGGTCTTGGGGAATGTTTGAGTCTGGTGGCATCTAGCCTGTCACCTGGTGTAAATCTCCAGATGATCTCTCCCAGCACCGGGATCTGGTTCTCTGCAAGATGACGGCAAATGCTAGCTAGCATTGTAGACTCGTGGAGCACTGCAGGTTGTAGGCACATGAGGCTCACAAGCATTCTCCCCCCCAGCAGCTTCTTCACTGTCCTTGACAACTGTGTGTGTGCATGTGTATGTGCGTGTGCCCGTGTGTTGGCTGAGGCAGTCAAGACTTAAGTCAGATGTGGAGTTCACACTGCAGGGAAATACTAGGGGCAGCCCCCACTGCTCTCCTGCCAGCAAACACCAACCATACAGCTTCCTATTCCTCGCCCAAGCCCAGCCCGTGACTGCGGTGGCCACACACCTGGGCTGCCCAAGAGATCAGCATGTGGGGTATTGCAGGGAGCATGCTCAGCCTAACCTCACCCCTCCAGTCCCAGCTGTGCCCAGCCCTAAGCAGCAGCTTTACAGTGGGCCCTGCCAGGGTCAGCTACTCCCTGGCTGTGATGGGGGCTGGGAGACTAATGACAGAGCCTTGCTCTTAGAGGTGAACTCAGGAAAGCAGTTTGGGGTAGATGATGTGTGAACTATTCCCATCAGTCTATGCTTCTGAAGCTGGAACTTCACATGGACATTCAGAAAGTCACTAAGCATCCCTGGCATACCCCTTAGCATTGTGAAATCATCCCCAAGGTCATAACCAATAAAAATAAATGCATATATGTTCACAAAAGTCAGGTGCAAGGATGGTAAGAGGTTAGCGCCTATTGCCACAGAGGCCGCCTTGCAATGGAATGAGTCTG